AGTAATGTACTATTCCTCCTTGAATAATTGATAGTCATAATTTTTATGATTATGATATTATGACAAATTGTGTTTTTTACTTACCTCACATAACCAAACCAAAAACCAAACCCATTGCCATTGAGTTGATTCTGACTCATGGCAATTCCATGTGTTACAGAGTAGAACTGCTCCATAGGTTTTTCTTGGCTGTAGTCTTTACAGAAGCAGATTGACAGGCTTTTCTTCCATGTCTCTGCTGGGTGGGTTTGAATCTCCAACCTTTAGGGTAGTGGTTGAGTGCAAACTGTTTGCATCACCCAGGGACCATACCACATATTACAGGACTTATGAAAAAATAAGTAGGAGTCACATCTTGCTTGATGTCAGTGTTAATGCTTTCTGTTCACAACTCCCTCGTCTGCTCTTCTCATATTGTGTGTGGGACCACTCAGAAATCCTTGTGCTTTTCTCCTGGTGACCATCTCTTACATTTCTCCATGGTTGCTTATTCCAAACTCCCCTCAATAGAATTTTCAAAATTTATATGTTCTCTACTCTGTGTAATCCCGTGTGAACACTACAGGATGAATTGGCAACCTGGATACCACTCCATTCTCGTAATTCTCCTAGTTCTTCTTTGCTGGATTTACCTCATGTCCTTGCTCTCTCAATGTGGTTCATGGTTCAGTCTTCAGATCCCTCTTCTCCTCTCCTCCTCTCTCCTCCCCCTCTCCTTCCCTTTCTCACTCTCCTTCCCTCCCCCTTCTCTCTGAAATGATCCCATTTAGTCCCAAAGGCTTTAAATATCATATCTGCCTGGATAACTCATTCATTTATATCTCCAGTACTTCTCTTGCTCTGAGTTCCAGGCTTGGATATCTAACTGTATACTCAAATCTCTACTCTAATAACTAATAAGCATTTCATACTTAACAGATTTAAAACTGAGCTCCAAATATACACCCTCCAAAAAGTCCCTTCTGTAGTTTTCCCATTCCATTCAATGGTCACTCTATTCTTCTCTTTGCTTTTCTAAAGAACATGGAGTCAACTTTATCTCCCTTCTCTCACACTTGTCATATATTCCATCTTCAAATACTACTGGTGCTGCCCTCACTAACATTACTGCATTACCCTGTACCAAGCTGCCCCCTCTCTTGCCTGGAACTGGTGTCCCTGCTTCTACCTGTCCTCGCTTCAGGTTACTTTCAATACAACAGCCAGAGTGAGCCTTTAAGATGTAAGTCAGATCTCATCATCCATGATCTGACCTCTGGCTTGAAGTTTTCCAATGGCTTCCTACTATATTTAGTCTTCAGGATACTAGTTAGCCATTGAAGTTACCCTAATCTCATATATTGCCACCCTCCTCCTAACTCACTCTGCTCCAGACACTCTGGCCTTTTGCTGTCTACCAAGCATGTGCCAAGCATGGACCTCTCTCTACACCACTGAACTTGCTCTACCTCCACATATTCACACAGCTCACTCCTTTACTGCATTTAAGTCCCTGCACAAACCTCACCTGTTTGTGGAGATCTTCCTTCACCAGCCTATTTAAAATGGTACCTCAGTCACTCTAAATTCACTTTGGCCTGCTTTATTTTCCTTAGTAGCACTTGTCTCTACCTGATATTAAATATCTATTTGTTTACCATCTTACTCTCTTATTAAGTGTAAGCTCTGGGAAGGCAGGACACTTGGACTGTTTTGTACACTTGTATATTACCAGCATGAAGAACCATGCCTGGCAGAGAGTTATTGAATAAAAGAATAAATAAGATACTATCTTTACCTTCAAGGAATTTACAATTTTTTTTGAGGGACATAAATGTACAAATAGCACAGGACACATACCTTGTATCTTTTATTTGCACTGTTGTGGTTGAGTAGATGCTTACTAAATGTT